TATATATATATATTATTTAAACACACAGAGTGTTTTTTAAAGTATTGTATATAAATACAAAGTAGTTATGAGATCTATAAGTTAAGTGGATACGTTGATACCGTTGTCACTTGCCGTTGTGCACTTGATATATTGAATTGATTTTATGGCAAGGAAACGTGATAAGTATTGAATATTTCTTAGCGGTATATATCACAGCGAAGATTGCTTCCCATCCTTGATACTTCCGCTATACGGTGTTGCTCAATTACACTGGAATCTCTTAATAGCACGCTGTTCGGGGCTCCGAAAGTAACAGCGAGGTTGCCCCCACTTTACCCCCAAAACATAAAATTTAAGACTGTAGAGGTATCGTTTCGTCTAAATATTATTTTCCGGTAACGAAAACGGATACGCGGTTATATTGCTACCCCCATTCACGCGTCCCTCTATTCACGTATGTCTAGCTCATGTGAAAGGAATTTTGCCTATTACGAGATTTCACTGTAATTTGCTTCATGTATCAAACAAATTATATAATTTATAATTTATTATATATAATAAATATATAAAATATGTGTCTATATGTGTGCTTGTTATCATTGCATGACTTGATAAATAATTAAACTGTTAGTTGCTCGATATTAAATGCTATTTGATGTGCTTTGCAAGAAAGTATATTTCGACTATATCACGTGCAAATATATGATATATAATATATTACAGTTTTTGCGGAAGATGAAATCTATAATACAGTTCTGTGCAATATATTTTGCCACATCTTCAACGAATTGTATGTTAGCTTGCGAGGACATGCTCAAATTCAGAAATCAAGGTGTATGTGCTCGAGGGGACATGTAAATTTATCACTTTGTTTTCGGAAGGAAAACATGTTCAGAATTTGGTCATTTGATGCAACGGATTTAACTTTTCGACTTTCACTTAACGTTTTATCGATGTACTATGTGGGCGATACAAAATATTTTGTCATGTGTAAAATGTCTTTTAAAAATTATTTACTGGAGAGAGATGTAATATAAATTGAAATTTTTCTTATTTTATATTTTCTAGTTATTTTATCGTAAATTTGTTCATTCGTATTACATATAATGTAAACAGATACATCTCGTACCTATAAATAGCTGACACTTACATTGACATATTAAAATGTATTCATATGTTACGTCATACTTCATTCATCGAAAACTACTGCAGTGATTATTATTCCACTTTCTCTGTATGACGAAATGTCTAATTGCCTGTATATACATATAGTTTCTACACACATAGATCGGTCTTGCAAAATATAATATTTCAGGGTCAAGTTTTCGGTCAATTATACTATACTAGAAAGAGACATCAGATTCTTTAATCCACTTTCTACGTATGCAAAAGAGTTCTACGTGACTGTTTTCTTTTCTTGAATGAAAACGCACAGGATATCCCAAAGTTTCTATCGTATGTGATACACGTATTGTTAAATATCCATGCGTCTAAAAAACGATTTAACTCTCTCTGCATTCGAATTCAACTTCACAATTTTTCTAGCAAGCAAAGCGTAGGCAAAACGCCCTTCACGCGTCTGACAAAAACAAATAATTATAAACATTACTTATAGACGTGCCAAATATCCGTCTAAATATGAATATTCATATTTTCCTTATAACAATTTTCTAAAGATTATTTTATATGGAAATTGATGGAACAGAAACTGAACACATTCAAAACAAGGTCAAAAGTTCGAGAACCTCTTACATGCGGATTCTTACGCGAGAAGATTCGATTTCCATTTGGCAACGAACGGAATTGTCAACGCTCACAGAAGGATAATCCGATACCACTGACCAAAATACTTCTAGTCATCCGGTGACCGGTACCGACAGGTGGGGAAGATTCAAGGAAGGGAGACCTTTAAAGCGAAAGAGAGAGAGAGAGAGAGAGACAAAGATCGGAGGAACAAAACGGTAATCCCGGGTGGCAAAGTCACCGCGGATCGACCGCAAGCGTCGATCACCAGTTACCGAAATGTACGCGTCGCAGAGAGACATCCCCGAGATGCGTGTCTTCGCGCTCGTGACGGTCTTCGCCGCGTTCCTGATACCACGGGGCTGCGCCCATATAATCGCCTGGAGGGAGATGCGACGGGAAGGGCCGATTCGCGACGCCATCGAGAGCGGCGCCGCCGCCGAGTACAACAAGGACGATTGCGTCTGGAGACGAGGAAACGACCGGGACGTTTGTCCCGATCCGGACGTACACGTGTATCTTTACACGCCGGGCCAACCACGACGGATCCTAGATCCCTCGGAGCAGTCCGACTGGCTGCGTCAGGATTACGAGCCCGTCAGGGATAATGTGATCCTGATTCACGGATACGCAGGTGAATCTCTGCGCTCTCGTCTAGAATCGCGGAGAGACATTCCTGAGAAAGAGACATTTGAATATATTTAGCATAGAATATTTAAATTATTAAAATATTTTTGAATAAAAATTTTCTGAAAAGATCAAATTGACTTGAATTTAAATGAAAGAAAAAAGTTTTGCTATTTAATTAGCGTAATCTTTAATTTATCTATAATTTATCCTATTTAATTGTGATTGAAGATCTTCTTGGAAATTTTCAGTAAACGCTCAGTAAAAATGTAGAAAATTTCCCGTTATTATACATTTTATTCATTTGTTATCAAGTATTATTTATACTACAAATATATTTGAACGAATATTAGAATGTATTCGGATAAACACATATGAGACAAATTTAATTAAAAATTCGCCCCAAAATTTTTGAGAATATCTAGATATTGGAGTAATCTTTAGATATCCTTGTAATCACCGTTTCAAGTGGTTGTAATTTATCTTTTTCCAATCTTTTGCGTGTAACTTTTATACGATAATCTACGCAGGTGGCGACAATACGTTGCCGATCGCGATTTTGCGCGACGCTTACTTAAGGAACGGTAGCTACAACGTGTTCCTGGTCGATTGGGGTGCGTTATGCGCACGACCGTGTTATCCGGCCGCAGTGGCGAATATACGACCGGTAGCGAAGTGTCTTGCCGGCACTCTCACGACCTTGAGAAACCTTGGCTTGCAGATCGCGAAGACTACCTGCATCGGGCATTCCTTAGGCGCTCATATCTGCGGCACCATGGCTAATTACCTGCTCTTCAGGATGTACAGGTGAATAGTTTTATCTTGCACACGTCTTAATTTAATATATTTTTGCGTGTCAATATTTTAATTAGCTATATAATTTGATAATTATAATTTGATTGTGTGTTTAGAAAGAGAGAGGGTATACGAAAGTATTAAACGCATTAATATTTACGTAAAGACAAAAAAAAATTATTAAATTTGTTTTGTGTGAAATCAAAATTTATTTGTGTCGGAAAATAGATTGCGCTCTCTATCAAAAACGCTATTCACGTCGATATTTCTTTTTGTTATAAATTAACACGCGTTTAATTAAGTGAAGAATCTTCATATTATTGTAATGTATTGATTTGTTAATATTTTTTTATAATTTGTGTTCTCTTTACGATTCGCAATTCTAAACATGGTGCTCTCTAAATGCGGACGGTATCTTGATCAATTTTGAGATAGAAAAAAAAAATGTTAATGCATACGTGTGAAAAGCTTAGGAATGAAATATATTGTGCGTAGGATAATCGGCTTGGATCCCGCCCGTCCGCTTGTCCGGCCAGGTTTGATAAATCGTTTGGATGCCGGTGATGCCGATTTCGTCGAGGTGGTACACACCAACGCCGGATATTACGGCGAGGTCGGCCGCGTTGGTCACGTGGACTTTTGCGTCAACGGCGGCAAGGTGCAACCCTTCTGCCAGGACAGGGAGATGTTTCATCTGTGCAGTCACGTGTGGTCCGTTTGCTTCATGGCGCAGAGCATAGACGACGATGGCGCGAGCATGATGGCTGAATCCTGCTCCAGGAGGTGCCCCTCGGGTCCGAGGATCGCCGCCAAGGCGGGCGAGTACGTGACGATGGGTCAACACACCCCAGTCAACACCAGAGGATCCTTCTGCTTCAGCGAAATCAATCCGCCATATTGTCCGAAATATTGGAAGGGTCGCGGCGACGAGAGATGTTGCGTACCGGAATTGACGAATAACGAAGAAGTAGAAGAGAATAACGTGAAGTATGATAACACGACGAAGCGTTCTTTTATGAAACAATTGAACTTTGAGCTTGACTTAAGAATACAGCCAAAGCGTGTAAATTAAAAAACAAAATTGTTTAGTTATAATATAATAATATAATAAAAATTATATCATTATTCATTATATATTCAATTTGTTTGTTGACAGATAAATTAAATTGTTAATGTATATAGAATCATAGCGTTTCTCTCTATTTCTTTCACAAAATAAATCACTTTCATTATGTATATATTAGTATAAAATCATCTCTTTACATCTACTTATATCAATAAAAACATATACATACATGAGACGATTGGTATTGGAGAGACAAAATTTTATATATATTATTTAAAAAAGACAGCTATATATATATATATTTTATACTCGTTTTGCGCAAAGTAATATGTTACATGTGATTTGTACCGATGGGTGAGTGAGATGTTTATATACGTGCTTACATAAATTAAGATCTTCTTACGGTACCGGGTGGCGTGCACCACAAAATGATTTACCGGAATGCCGGACTCACCGATTACGTATTCAGATTACGTAGTGCGCCGTGTTCCGGAAAAATCTTAGGTTTGTAATATATCCGGCGATCCATACCGTTATGCGCTCCACTAACATAAGCATCGACGAACAGAGTCATGACAATAATAAACGATCGATCGAGCGTCTCGCAATATTTCGTATATTATTGGAATTCTCTTAAATAGAATTTTTGCGTCTATCCTATCGAAATTTTCTTGCAAGTTTAATTAACTGGAAGTCAAGTCAGTATCAAAGTACCCTTATTTTTAAAATGATTTAAATATTAAAAATATTTTATATTTTATATATTAAAAATGCTATTGTATATTGTATATTCCCGTGCATATGGCCTTGTTGTCATTCAAGCGCCGACACTCGAACGAGCAGATGAAGCAGTACAACTAGATCTATTGTCTCATATTTTAAGAAAATACTTGCCTTTTTTGTTCGCGATATCTCTTGCAATATTGGAGTAAGAATATTAAGAATTTTTTTTATATCTCGTAGAATACTATCCAGAACTCTAAATAAAAAAACCAGAATTGCGAAAAAATTTACTTTTAAAAATTTTAAATATATACTTATATATAAAATTTAATATTTTTATGTGTATATATATATATCGCGATGATAGATGTTGAATCACATATTTTGTAATTTATTCATTTAATCAAATAAGAATTAAAATAATAAAAAACTAAATTATAAATTATCGTTTCGTTGCGTTTCTTTATGAACAATAATTATGTCTTTAATAACACATAGAGTCAAATATATTTTGTCCACGCTATATCATTTGACTTTTCGACGATCTAGATATAATTTGGATTAAGAACGTGCTAAACCGTTGAATCGCAAAAGTAAATAATTAATATAACGATAAGCTCCGTGATACATTAATCATTTAATAAATAATTGATCTGGAATTTAAAATACTTATATAATATAATTAATTTTGCATATATATTTTATAATAAAATATTTCGGCAGCGAATTTTAGGACAATACCTAACATTAGTATTTGGCCTTGGCGTAAACATTGACGCGCGTAAACATTGTTTACGTATCATGGCCTTGTTATGGTTCATACGGAGACACTTGAATAGAATTGTAGTGGAACGAGACGCTCAAATTCCTTGACAGGAATTAAAATTATGAATTATTATTACGATCCTTATAAACAATAATCATTTTTTCAAAAATATTTATATTAAATATATTTTATCCGACGCTTTATCGTTTGACTTTTAACAGCGTCTAAATATAATTCGGATTAAGATCGAGCAATTAAACAATTGAATCGCAAAATCGAGTAATTAACACAACGAAAGGCTTCGTTATACATCAATTGTTTAATAAATATAATTAATCATAATTTAAAATATACTTTATACACTTTAATATTCCGCGTATATATATAATATGATAGTAAAATATTTCGGCAACGACTTTTCAATAACATGGTATTCGACGGCGTAAACATTGGCGCGCTATTGTTCACGTATCACGACTTTATTATTATTCATACGGTGACACTTGAATAGAACTGTAGTGGGGCGAGACGCTCCATCAAATTCTTTTTCTAAACGCAATTGCGACAAATATCGGGAAATAATTTGATAAGATTAATAATTATCTTTTACATACTTTAAATAATATGTAATTAAATCACAACGATAAATCTTAAGGCGCGTATTTCGCGTGATGTATACACATTTAATGAAGAATCAAAGTGACAAGAATCAAAATTGTAAATTATTGTTTTGTTGCGATCTTTCTCTGTCTCTTTATAAGCAATAAATATTTCTTTAAAAATACTTAAAATTTAATTATATTTTGTCCGATGCTTTTTCATTTGACTTTTCGACGATCTAGATATAATTTGGCTTAAGAACGTGCTGTAAAATGATCGAATCGCAAAATTGAATAATTAATATAACGATAAGTTCCGTGATACATTAATCGTTTAATAAATAATTAATTTAGAATTTAAAATATTTATGTAAATTAATATTTCCCATATATATTTTATAGTACGTAAAATATTTCGGCAGCGAATTAGAACAATACCTAACATGGGCCTTGGCGACGTAAACATTGACGCGCGTAAACATCGTTTACGTATCACGGTCTTGTTATCATTTATACGAAGGCACTTGAATAGAACTGTAGTGGGGCGAGACACTCAAATTCCTTTCTTATGTGTTTGTTATCATTCGCGCGGCGATACTCGAGCAGTAATGTAGCAGTGCGAGACTCCATAAAATTCCTTTCCTAAACGCGATCGCGACAAGTATCGAGAAGATTTGTTATTTATATATTAATTATTTATTAATTGCGTACAATTTACGTACAATTTAATTAAAACAATTAATCGCGTAATTTGGCTTTTTATTTATATGATTTACACAAGAGAGAATTAGAGAAAAAGATTTTTATATGAAAGCTATAATCATTTGGATCTTCTATTTATATATTACAGACCAATGTAGCAACCCTAACATCCTGAGAGGAGGAAGAGGCCTAGGAAAGGCATCCTGCACCGGCGGAGCAACTCTAGGGTGAGTATTTATTATTTGTATATCAATTGTAAAAAATCGCGTACGCGCGTTAATTCGCTCTTTTTATTTGAATGAATTAAACAAGAGAAAATTAAAAAGAAAGATTTTTACATAAATCCTATAAAAGTTTCTATTTGAAAAAAAAAATCTTTTTATAATTTATAAAATTGTTCCAGGACTTTATATTTGTATGTTACAGACAACGTAGCCTCAAGACCAACAACTCCGCTGTTGCGCATCAGTTCCGGTGAGTGATGAACTTTATTTTATTTTGAGGTAACGGATTCGTAGATTTGTAGATTGTAGATGCAAATGTAGAAATGTATAAAATAGTAATAACTTATTTTCATGTTGCGTCGATTTTATCCTAATTTTTCATAGCCCATTCATCTATATTATCATATCAATTAAAGTTTAGCTCTAATTGATCTATTAGGGCACGTGAGTAGGACACGTGAATAGGGCACACGAATAGGGCACGCGAATAGGGCACGCGAGTAGGGCACGCGATTAAGACACACTCCCCAAAATTTCAATGACCCCGGATTCCCGCTGGCTTAGCCAGCAAAAGTAAGGTTGTTAGGACTATCTATTAGGACTATCTTAACTTAAGATAATCATTTAATTCCTTAAGCATTTAATTCTTTAAGATTCTTAGGAAAACTAAAAAGTAGGATTCTTTTTAGAAAAACTAAAAAGTAAAAATTAATTATAAAAGAATTGTAGAAAAATTAAAATTTTCATATCAAAGCATTGTTGATAAATTCGGGAAATTGTATTTCAAACTTTATAAATATCACGAATATTGCTAATTCTTTTAATATTTAATAGTAAAATTATTGAATAAAAGTATGAAGACTCGATGTTAAATTACCGATTAAATATTAGCTTTTTGTTCACAAAATTTGACGACTGCCTTCGACAATGCAGAATCGCGAGTAAATTATTCCGAATTTCATGATTTGATTTTGATTTGATTGATATCTATGAATTTCGTGTCGGAATTAAATATTCGTTAAATTAATTAATTAACTACGTTGTAAAAACACCGCGTTTTTTCCACGTTCTTGGACGCGATCGCTGTCTTAGGTTGTTAGGACTATCTATTAGGACTATCTTAACTTAAGATAGTCATTTAATTCCTTAAGCATTTAATTCTTTAAGATTCTTAAGAAAACTAAAAAGTGAAAATTAATTATAGAAAATTTGTAGAAAAATTGAAATTATTAACTTTTCTACAATTTAAATTAAAAATTAAATAGTAGAAAAATTAAAACTAACTATAAAAAATTAAAAAATAATATATTCGCTACACCTTTTTTTATAAATAAAAAATTGTATATATATTTATTATGTACAAAATAAAGTGTAATACACATGTGTGTTAGTTCGCGATGTCTAGTTCGGTGCTTCGTTGAAAATTAGGGATGTTCGTTGCAGGATTGGAATTAAACCCAGGTTTTCCTGGCGATTTCTGGATCAATGGTTTCGGTAGTAACTCAACGTCGACTACCACACGTCTTTTCGAAGCCGAATTACGAAATTAATTTAAATAGTATATTTGAAGGGAAAATATATTTCTTTCTCTTTGTTAAAAGTGTTCTTCCATCATTATTAATATTAATATATTATTGTCTTAATGTGCTAAAAAGATTTAATAGTAGATTGAACATGGATATAACTAATGTATATAGATTAATTTATATTTTTTAAGCAATTTCAAATTGCAATCAATTTGCCTGTTTCTATTGACTTTTTTTTATATAAAAAATTATAGTTACGAACGAATATATTTTATTAATTATTTTTAATATAATTTTTGATCTTTCTTTTGAATGTAACGTCAAATGTGCGTATACTTTGAGACAAATCGAATGGGTACCCTGATATCAGTGAAATATCAGTTAATAAAATTAATGTATTTAAATGCTACAGAAAAGATTAATTATAGCTTAGAATTATTATAATTACGCTTGATATTATTTTGATTTATT